GAAGAAGAAGAAGAAGAAGAAGAAGAAGAAGAAGCAGAAGCAGAAGCAGAAGAAGCAGAGGAAGAAGAAGAAGAAGAAGAAGAAGAAGAAGAAGAAGAAGAAGAAGAAGAAGAAGAAGAAGAAGAAGAAGAAGAAGAGTAAAGAAATACATTAAGATGCCCATCTGAAGAATGCCAAAATCTTCATGGGCCATGCTGTGCCTGCAATCTCAAGGAGGTGGGTCATGTGTGGTCAAATACGAGAGACAAAATTCTTAGTACATGTTTGCAGTGTATACAGTTTCTATCAAGGACAATGGCAATTGAATTTTCATTCCTTCTGTACCGTGGCTGTTAGAGGATAAATGGGTTTAGCTGGAGGGTGAAAGAATTTAGTTTACAGAAAAAAGTACAGCAAAGAAGCAAAGATATATCCTCGATTCAATAGATGATGACAATGTTGTCTACCTTTCTCTGAGATATTTCCTAAAAAGGAAATATTAAAGATTTAAAAAAAGAAAATTTTCCAAGTAAAAGTAATCATATGCTTTTCAGTATTGAAAAAAAAGATCCTAGCAACAGCAAGAACTTTCTTTTCTTTTTTTTTCTTTTGTGGTGATAAACTGTTTTTACAGCAGTTTTAGGTTCATAGTGAGGTAGAGAGCAGTGCCCAGAGCTGTCCTGTCTATCCTGTGCCATGGGCACAGCCTTTCTCACCACCAATGCCCCAATAAGGACCTCTTTTGCAGCTGATGAGCCTGCACAGACCCCGTTGTTGCTCCACAACCAGGGTTTACACCCCTGGGTTTGTACCCATGTATTTTTGTGACATCATTTCATTCTCCTGGGCCCTATCCTTTCATTTCCTTAGCAATTAGCTACTGAAGCACAGGGTTGGGTTTCTCAGAGTACGTAATCAGGATGTTGTCAAGGGCCAAACAGGAGAACAGGTTCACAGGCATATCCAAAAATTTGGAAGACAGAAAGTCTAATTGATTTATCAGTGCACCATATAACTTTCAGAAATAGAAAGTCAAGAGAAAGCCAAAGCCTCAGGACAAACACCTGTAGAAAGGTTTAGAGAAGTAAGGCCAGAATTACTAAGGCAGAAAAAGAGACACATCTTCCAGTGGCAAAATAGAGCCCCGGTCACGAAAAGCTAGTTTGGAGTGTTGTCCTACCATTACACCAGAAAGAAGGGGACCCATGGGTGACAACAAAAGACTGAGGGTATTGATGTCTTTCAATACCCTTTCAGCACAACTGCATGTATGAGACTTGCAGTAGACAGTGCATACTTAGGAAAATGGGAGGGGGAAATAGGAAGAAATGGAGGGAGATTGTTTAAATGTGGGTGTATGCATCTGAATGTGCAGGGCTTGGTGTTGTACCTCCAAGGGCACTGCAGGAATTGGGTGCAGTATGGTAGACCATAAATTGAGTATGAGTCAGCAATTTGTAATGCTATTAGTTAAAGAAGGGAACATGAGTGAGAGATGCACTGACAGGAAGATGACACAAACAGGGTAAGGGTATTTCTCTACTGCTTGGCATTGACCAACTGCTATTTAAGATGTAATTACCAATTTGGCTGTCTATTCAAAAGATGATTAGGTTCAAGGAAGGAATCACAAAATGATAATGGAACAAAAAGCATATGACAAAGTCCAGTGGCTGGGGTAAAAAGTCAGGATCCTCATTTCTTTGTCATTGTGGTTAATGCGAACTTCCAGTGCAGCTGCCTTTGTTGATGGCATCAAGACCTAAAGTGACCCTTCTAAGTAGCCATATCTACAGGTGAAGACAAGTGGGTTATTCTGTGTTGGAAAAAGAGAGAGGTCACGTGTAAGAAGGATTATTGTGGAAACCCTTCTGGCTAAAGGACTCTGCTAATTTCCAGAGGAGGATGAGGGAATTGGTGTACACTGGTATCAAGGGGAATTAGAGCAGAAAAGAGGGAAAAACTAACAGTAATTAAGTGCCAGAGTTAAGGCTGCCTTTCTCACACATCCTTTGTATAATAGCCAGGACACTTATGTATACGTGGCTCGAGGAAGCTTCTGTGTCCAGGCGATCCCCAAGGCTGATAATCCACAGTAGCATTAGGAATCCTGCTGTGATGCCACAATTCATGAATCGCCACAATTTGTTTTCATTCCTCTCAGTTACCTTCTAATTTTTCCCTCTTTTCCATGGACACACTCCAGGACATCTCTGTGTCACATCTTGCTGGCCGTGCAGTACTTTCCTCCCCCAAGGTGACATTTTCCCCGAGTTGCTTTCTCTGCTATGACTTTTCCTCTGTAACTTCCCTGTCAAGATTCTCCTTTCCAGGGCCAGGGAGATAGCTCAGTAGAATAAGTGCTCGCCTGGCAAGCGAAAGATCCTGAGTTCAATCCCTGGTACCACACACACACACAAAAGGATTCTCCTTTCCTCAATATCACTTCCTGGAGTCTTTCCCAAATCAGTGGCTTAGCAATTCTCACTGACTCATTCAGAAAGAGCCTCGTGCTTTTCATCTCACTGTGGGACTGGCAGTGTGGGAGAGCCACCAGTGGGGTGGGCCACGGCGCGCTAGTACTGAAGTACAGTGTGAGAATTCTTCCCTCTCTCACTCCTGCAGTTCCGCTTCGGCTGAGGGTGGGAGCTACTTTCCAGAGTTATTATTTCTAAATCTTTGCCCCATCTACCTCTCCCTGTAGGGTTCAGGCCCCAGGCCTTGGGAACTAGAATTATTTCTTGGACTTTTTAAAATTTTTTTTAGTACTGAAGTATAATATACGCAAAAGAAAGGGGTGTAAATAAAAATATAAGTAATGATTAACGATATTAGTTGGGATTTAAATTTATTCCTTTATCCTGGAGGCATTTATTTATATGGCTTTCTTTTATTTATGCCAGTGGTACTGGTTTCCAGGGCCATGCTTAAAAAGTTTTCTTTTAAAAAGATATTTATAAGCAAAAAAAAAATTGATTTAAGGAGAAATGTATCACTCTACTTCATAGATTCTAAAGATTCACATTTTCCAAGGCATTTTAACCTCTCTGGAATCACGGTCCAGCTTGCAGTCCTCCACTGCCATGAACCGAGTTGGGCAGGGAGCCTGGGGTCTGGCCCACACTGCCACACGTGGTAAATCAAGCAAGGTCAGCGTGAGCACATTTCAGACTCAACGACTTATGGTGAATGCAGAATAACACGGCTAGTTCTCTGGAAAAGAAAAATAGAGGACATGGTGTGCTAATATCTGAGAACCCGGTAGCTTAGGGGCATATTCTCCTCTGATGCCTCAAGTTTTGTTTTGTTTTACTTTATTTTATTTCTGTTCCTTTTGAGAAACTGTTTCTCTCTATGTAGTTCAGGCTGGCCTTGAAATCACTGCGCATCCAGCTGGCCTCAGACTTGCAGTGATCAGCTGGCCTCCGCCTCCCACGTGCCGGGATTGCTGGTGTGTGTACACCAGGACACCCAGGCCGCTTCGTAGTTCAGTAGGAGCCTTCTGGAGATGCAAGGCCTTAGCCCCCGAAAGTGGTAGGAATTCAGATCTGTGGCCCGGTCACAATGGGTACCAGCAGATCCTGAGGTGAGCTTTATTTTGCACCCCTTCAATGCTCTTTGCCTTTGAACCCTGTATCTGTGCCTGGCCTTGGTGTTAGATACATTATCCTTGCTTAGAAGTTTCTGGAAACCACCTTGTCAGGCTTCAGACTTATGAATTATAGGAAAGATAGCTTTCAGATGAGGAGTGTTTTTATATTCTAGACTATAGATCAGTGACCTGGAGCATCATATACCCACCCTCCCACTTGCCCACAGGACCTGAGTAGCCGGGGGCCAGTAGCTGCCCATGGTTGGCTCCTCAGCCTCCCTGCGGCTCTGGAGGCAGCTGCCACACATTTGTATGGTGCACCATTTGCATACTCTAAGGAGATGGGCTATAATTGGCCTTCATTGATTTTATTTTCATTGAGCTAAAATAGAGTCAGAGCTTCTTAGGCTAGAAGGACTGATTGATTTGTGGTAGAATTCAGGACTATTCAGTTGAAGAAATAATTAATTATGTTCTTATTTAGTAATCATCAGGGTTCAGCCTATTTCTTAACAAGGAGTGTGGTCAGCAGAATTGAACTATGCCAAGCCAGGAATGCATTAAAATAGGTACTTTAGCCAAACAAATGGATCCCACATGTAGTATTTATTATTATTCCTAACAGACAGCTTTGTGCAGGTTAGAGACCATCATTCCCTAATGTGTGTGTGGTGATCAAGAAGGGTGGGCAGCAGCATTCTGCTCTTTGTTTCTTCTTCACAGGGAGTGCTGTCTGCCTGTCTCTGCCCGCCACCCCTCTGTTCATGCATTCTTTCATTTACCCTTGCATTCATCTGCAGATCTTTCCACATATTGTAACCTCTTCACGGGTTACTCCAGTCTGAGCAAATGATATTTTCTACCTTTGTTTTCAATTCTAAGAACTAGGAGATGGTCCAGTTAGGAAATGAAGGTGTCTCAGCCTGGGCTGATTATCCGAGGTGTTCAATGCTTAAGTTAGGAGGGATACCTGGAGGGTCTTCCTGAGTTGTTATGGTAGTTTAGAAGTTGAACTAGGATGAAATCTTTCCCAATTGTTCAGGCCCATATCAATTTCTCCTTTAAAAAGTTTCTTTTGAAATTATTATATACAATTTTTGATATAATTCATCCCCACTGGAATAAGGTTTAGCCCATAAACTACTTAAGCGATACGGCATAGATATAAATAAGTACACATGCCTTTCATACAATACATGTTTATCGAGTAGCTCTACATAGAAGGTACTATAGTAAAATATACAATGATGAATAGAACACTGTAGGCTGGCCAGATAGCTCAGAGGATTAAACTGCCTGCTTAGGCAGAGTGCAGCAGCTGGGGTTTGATCCCCCGTGTGCTGTACTGGCCCCGTCCCCAGGACCCACTGAGACAGCAATTGAGACCGGGTGTGGTAGCGCGTGCCTCCTGTAATCCCAACTCATTGGGAGACTGAAAACAGGAGAATCACTATGAGTCTGATCTACATAGTGAGACCCTGTACTATATATATATATAGAGAGAGAGAGAGAGAGAGCAAGAGAGAGCACTGTAGCTGTCCTGAAGTATATTACAAGATAATATAGAAATGATTGTCAGAAATTCATTCAGTTACTTGGAACTATGCACACAATATTTTATATAGTCCACTGCTTAACTCTCAAAAATCTACTTAAGTATTAAGATGAGGAAGATGAAACTGCCAATATTTTACCATTTTTATCCTAAAAATTTGGCTATTTCATATGGTCAATCTAACACACATGTAAATGACGTACTTTTTCTAAAGACTAGGATAAAGCATCCTTTGTGACCACAAACTGTAATGATCATGGGGAGACAATGTGTTCAGAAACCATTTCCTATTGAAGGCCTTAACTGAAGGACCCCTCTGTGGGTGTTCATTTTGGGGCACAGGTGAGGTAGGGGTTTGCCCTGCTGCCTGTCTAGGGCAAGTGTCCTGGCAGTGGTGAAGCAGTGGGAATACTGAGGGGGAAGAGAGGAGACAGGGGAGGGCATGGTGTGTCTCCTGCAGATGGAGTAGGTGGTGGCTTCACCTTTCCTCTCCTGCGGAGTATGCACCTGACACACTCCACATGGGCAGTGTGACGCCTATTATCTGTCAGGGTCCACGAAGCTAATGACAGAGTCTCTGCTAGTGCCACTGTTGAAAAAGAAAATGCAGAAACCCCCCCCATAGTGGGAGTGGGTTAAGTTCTCATTTTTCTCTTGGAGCAGGCAGGGTTGAGGGGAGGGAAGGGCAGATAAATCTGTCTTGAGGACTGGGGAGGCACAGTATTTCCCCACCCCACTGTCTCTGAGTCAGGCTAATACACATGGATATTAATGAATTCAGAAATTCCTGCGGTTGCTGCCATGGTGTTGGAAATATCATTGAGGTAAAGACAGAGAAACAACTACCTCCACAGAGGCCACGTGTGAACTGGGACACAGCACATGCTAGCTGTCATTATTTTTTTTTGTTTTGTTTTTTCAAAGTTTTATTGAT